CCATCTCTTGAAAGATGAACCACCGGGACAGGCATAAATGTGCCCATCTTGCCCCGCTTTCGTACGAGCGGAATTCACGATTGTCCTGTATAGTATGCACGCGCGGAATTTTGGGTTGGTCTTAGACTCTTGTCTGCATCTTGATGTGTGGGAGGGATTGGTCTTGGTCATCTCCGGTGCTCGAGGCGTACTAATCTCCACTACCCAGTATTTGGTGCACTTGTCCTTTCCATGTATTGAGAACAGGGCGGAAGTGCCAGTCATCCGGGATTTCACGACCTTGCGAGGCGCCGGACTAACATGAGGTTGTTCGTGGGGGAAGCCCAGTGAGCCATCATCATGGTTTCCACCAGGGGGCCTCAGGTGTGAAACAGAACATATCGTTAAAGGTGATGTGGGCAAACAAGATACTCGAAATGCTTGGTAGGCAAGGAAATGGAAATGGGTTTTTTTTACATGTAAGAAGCAAATCAAAGTCTAAATTGATTTCCTGTTGGCTTGATCTCTCTGCCGGACATCTGGGGGAGCCTATATCGAAATCTGCTGTTGATACATGTCCGATCGCTTTTTGCATCTAGGGAGTTCCCAGCCTCGGATTCATGTATGTCCTGTCTCAGCTCCATCCGGTTGACCTAATGATGTTTCGTCCTGTAACCAAAATAGATGATAAATAGGATAGCGATGGACGTTAGCTTGTGGTCCAGCACGGTTACTATCCTCACCATGCATTGCTATACAGATCCGTGGTGGGCTTACAGACGGCAAACCAACTTAGTCTGTCTTCTCCCGTTCCTCCTCTTTCGGTTTCTCTTCGTCCTCCAACATCCTCCTCCTGCCCTCCATCGTGAACCACAGACTTCTCGACCCACTCTCCAAAGTCTGCACCATGGCAGCTCCAAATCCCTGCAGCATCCCCACCAACTGTGCCCGCAAACCGTCAATTCCGCCTTCTATACTGCCCACCCATCTCGTTCCTTCCATATCAAAGAGCTGCCCATCAATCCTTGCTCCCAGCAGTATTATTTTCTTCAAGCCGTCCTGTACGGACTGCTCGTAGTAATGGGGAACTGCTCTTCTGGTAGGGGCAGGGAAGAGGGGCGATTGCGGAGATAGTATCGAGAATGCGGCCTTGAGATAGACCGGTGAAACGGTAGGAAGTGTCAAGATAGCGACGGAGCCCGCTAATACGGGCGTTAGGGGATGTTCGTTCTTATGCTGCTGCGCGGCCTCGTATGCTGCGACCGACAGCGCGTGTGTTAGAGAGGGGTCATCTTTTTCCAACTGGATTCCTGACAAACCGCCCATTGGCTCCAGGGGCGGCAAAGGTTTGAAGTACTCGGCGATCCGTAGAGCGGGTTCGAACATATTTGTCTTGATGACTTGCAACTTGATGTGGTCTCCAATCAGCTCATGCGGAGGTTTGCCTTGAGCCGCAAGTTGTGCATCAACTTTTCTGAGTGCCGAGGCCAGCTCGCGACGTATGCTCACCCACTCGGCGGCTTTCAGATTGTTGTGCTGGAAGAAAATGATTAATGGTGTAGTTTGTAGGAGCGAGACGTAGGAGCGCAGCAGCTGGGATTTTCGGTAGGCGGGATTGCGGTGCGAGGGAGGTTGAACAGGTGGGTAACGGGAAAGCGTTGGTATCGAGGCTCGCATCTGACCATCTGAAGGAGCTGGTGTTGTTGCTCTTGATCCTGCTGCTGTCGCGTATTGTCGAGAGCAGCGACCGCATGTGTATGTCGAAGCAGGTTCGATTTGAAGCTCTATGAGCTGCGCAAGGGCGCGCAAGCGGATTCTTGGAGGCATATTGCTAGGAATATCGATGCACACGAGACACGGTAGTGCGGGCAGGAGTCGTTCTGAGGAATGGACGGGGGTTGTCCGTGGGATTGTGTCCAATTCAATGCACTACGAAACATCCTACAGCAGTTTTGAACAATTAGTGGCTCCAAATGCGCGTTTCCGAATACAGTTAGACCATCACTCCCCACACCGCGAAGTATCTTGCTGTTCCCTTTGCAAACCTTCTGTTACTTCCTCTTGCTTTGCTGAGAAACAGAACCCCTCGGGGGCGCTGCTGTCTGCATGGCCCGACGACTTGCAGCAACTTCTCAGGCTACCATTCAACTATGGCTCTCTCTTTCTCGAGGTGGTTATTCAGCCGACATCTAAAATAGCTGCTTGACACAAGGCGGTGATGAGCACGGTCTACTGCCACCAAGCCATTGCAGCATGAACCCTCTTGAAAGATGATCTTGAATGTCTTGCTGACATATCAAACTGACTACTGTCTTCGAATTCACTCTTGATGGTGAAATCCAAGGTTGGTACTAACAGAGCCCAGACAAATGAGTACCAAGGAGAAGTCCACAGCGCCTGCAGAGATTCAGAGCGAGAGTGACCGTACCTCAATATGTGCCAGATGTGCCGAGCTGGAAATCCCCAAGTTACTGGCCTTATAGCTTGTGGCGACGAAGTCCCGCAATTCTCAGAGCTATGCGTTCAGCGTATGATCTTTGATGCCAACGGTGACCAACCCTTCCAGAAGACATGCAGCTGCTGTACCAGCCTCCAGGATTACAGACTAAGAATCTACGTCACGCCGTCCCCCATATCGTGGAACAGGTTGTCAGATGCTGAATCTACACAGCTTTTGTCTACCTCTTCGAACTCTCTCGCTCCACCCCACCTGGTTGTTCCGAAAGCAATTCTTTCGACATATTTGCCTATGGATCCTTTTTTGGGAGGAAACCGAGTGGTTGAACAAAATGATTTTTAGTTATGACGCCCGTTTGCTGTCCAGTCGACCTGACTATGCTGTGGTCTCTGCATGGCTACGAGATTGCTCACAAAAAGCACAAACTATGCCAGCCGCCTCAAATGAATAAATTGCGCCCCAACGCTTCTTGTCGATGTTACCACTCGCTGTCTGATTAAATACTCACCGGCTCGAAATGGCCATCGCAACTACGTGGCACTGAGTTATGTCCGGGGGGATGTTCACCAGGAACCTGCAGAGCTCAGTCAATTGCCTGAAAATCTTCCGCAAACAATGGAGGAAAGTATCAAAGTGGTGAAATCGGTGAAATCACTCGATCAACGATATCCGTGGGTGGATTCATTATGTATCGACCAGGCTGATGAGGAAGGGAAAATGTGCCAAATAAGGTATATCTGACGAAATGGGATGATGAGACTAATCTCGAAAGACACTAGGCACATGGATGCGGTATACGATCGCGCATTTGCCACAATAATTGCGCTCGATGGGAGAATGCCAATGATGGTCTTTCAGGCGTTGGCAGCCATTCCAAGAGGCAGCGGCAACTGGTTGCACATTTCGGCTCAAATTATATGGTGCAGCAATCAGAAGAACCGAGATTACTTGTCGAACAGCCGCCATGGAGTAGATGCGCCTGGACCTACCAAGAAGGCCTTCGTTCGCGGGGGCGCCTTATTGTCACCAAGCGCGAGCTGTACTTTCTTTGGGCAAAGAGGTTCCGTTGTAAATCTTGAGACCTTGGATGCCAAAACGATACCTATATTGCGGCGACATTGGGCGAGTCCCCCTTGACTCCGCCGGCAGTTTGTCTGGTCCATAACCGTCCACCGCATTGCGCAGCTTCACGGATATAGTCAACACCTATGCAACAAGAACACTTTCTAACGATGACAACTCCCTGAATGCCATCTCAGGTCTTCTCTGTCGCATAGCAAAAGACTCGTTCACAGATGGATTCTTGTACGGCCTGCCACGGACGAACATTAGGAGATCGCTCCTACGGCGCCAGGAAGGGAAACGCAACAACAACTCCCACAGAATACCAAATCGCGCTGTTAGGTTCATTCTAACCTGGAGCTGGGCGGCCTGGAAGCCGCAACACAAGATTGAACTTCCTCCGCCATATGGGTTCAACTGCCTTCGAACTGCATTACGAATAACTGCCTGTAGGGGGCCAGGAGATCGTCATGAGCAATGTCGACACAACAGAGACCTTCCCAGAGGTACCACTCTCCTGGGATGAAATTGAAAAGCGGTTGGCATCTGCCACCCAACAAGTGTTCCGCTGTGTGGATGCAAAGGCTGTCGACGATGTGACATCGTTGAACTCGTCAACCACCTCTCTGCAGGATTTCCATCTTCAAATCGAGGGCACGATATTGGACCTGCCCTGTATTATCAAGGTCAGAAAGAAGAGCAAACACCACCGACCCCATCTTCTTATTTCGAGCACTGCTCCCGACGCAGGACCCGTTCATGGTCGCTGGTTTGGTGATGTCTCCATCTGTGACATCGCGCCTACTGCTTTCCCAAGGAACGATTTGGCCAGCACTATTCCGGCAACGGCGGCGGCGCCCAAAGGCGACAATGTCCGAAACCACGGTTTGCTCCTGGTATCCGCAAGCATAGCTAACTTATATATATATATATAAGAGAGTGAATGCAGAAATAGATCAAGTCTCTCCAGACAGGCTGAATATGATGGAACCAGGACAGATTGTAGCTATCGGCCTGCCCCGGGCCTGGAATGTCTGCATCTGTGTTGGAGACACGGCATTGCTATCAGGGGCGGAGTGATCTGGATCAACATCTTCACGGCTGCCGCGGTCGAATCGTTCTAGGAAAATTGCAATGCGCGAAGGTGTCGATTTTAGCTCGGATGAAGCCCGAACCTGCGGAAGCTACAAGGCCTCACAAGACTTGATTGACAATGAAGCAAAAGGCATAAAAGTTCTGTGAGAGGGGGAGGAGATGATGACGTCTTCTGAGATTGTTCACAGCTCAGTACGCCGATTGGCTGTCATTCATTTCCAGGTTGTGCTATGCGCGACGAGACAGCTGTACGAGGGTCTCTCTATTCCGTTTCTACTTCTTTGATAATCTATCGGGGAAGAAACATACGACAATGACCTACCCGACACCATGCCTTTGACTGTGTAATCCGTCCTTTAGAGGGGGCCAATGATCGATCCATTTGCCCCCCAAAGCCCTTCCTGCGTCACGCAGACCTCTTTCTCTGTCTCAAATCGCCGACAATCTCGCGGGCCAACATTGCAAAGAACGCCCTAGTCTCCCAGACGGGCAAGACGACGCTGATCAGTGCGGAGCTGAAAACCCAGATGAAGCTGATGACGACCCAGGCGGTGAAGAAGCCGACCGAGAAGACGTAGTGGCTGAGGAACATGGGGATGGGGATCAAGAAGTCCATGATGAAGGGCAGGACGAAGGAGGCGACGCAAGCGAGCTTGAAGGCTGCGCGCAGCCGCGACGGGTGCTCCTCGATCGCAGCGTCCAGAGACATCTGGCGCTCTTCGTCGGCGCGGATGGGGTCCTTGGTTGCAGTTGTCGTGAGGTGCTTTTCGTCCGGTGGGGCCGACGTTGGTGCTTCGCTGACGGATTTGATGGCATCCTTTTTCTCAGCGACACCCTCTCCGCCGCTGCTCTGCGTGGTGCTTGACCGGGAAGAATCCGCCGCGGGAGGAGTGGTGCCCTCCAGTTCACCATGGGCACTGGCCGCGTTGATGGCCCGCGTCGAACTCCAGTCATAATCATCCGGTTTGAGCAGAGACACGACGACCGAGACGATCAGGCCGGTCATGATGGCAGCCAGATTGCCAGCCAGCGTGGCGTAGTTTGATCCCGTAGTCGTCAGGTTGAGTTCACCATAATAGACCTTGGCTTCGACGAGCCAGGCGGTCAGGCCGGCGGCGAGACCACTCAGCGCCCCGGCGATGGCACCGGCGCGACTCTGCCCCTTCCACGTTATGGCGAATGCGACGGGGAATACGGCACCGCCGATGAGGAGGCCCATGACCAGGAACAACCAGCCGAGATCGATGCCGATGACGTTCCAGATGATGGCGAAGATGGCCATGGTCAAGCCAAAGACGGCGACGTTGACGTGGGCCATGAAGATCAAATTGCTGGGCGTGGCGTTAGGTTTGATGTACGCCTTGTAAATATCGAAGGTGAGGATCGAGGAGACAGCGATCAGTTCGGCAGACGCGCAGGACGTCACGGCCATGAAGAGCGTGATGAGCAAGGCCACGGCGCCGCCTTTGCCGAGGAGCGTGCTCGCTGCAAAAGCGGAGGCGAGACCAGCAGAGATTTGACTCGACGAAGGCGCATGGGGGTAAGTCGGGTAGGCAGGGTTGTCGGTCAGCGCGACCGAGGCCAGACCCAAGGTCGTGGCGAAGCCAAAGGGGATAGCGAACCACGCCATCCCGCCGAGAATGTACGCTCGCACGGCGGTGGTAGGACGAGACGCAATGGCTCTCTGCCAATACGCTTGGTCCAAGAAGACGGTACCACTGCCAGAACAGAGCTGAATGACGCCGAAGATCAACGCATTGTTGGATTTCAAAGTCATGTAGCTGCCGTCTTGGTTGCCGGCCACGGGTCGAAGAGTCGCCGCTTTCTTCAGCAGCTCGAACATGCGAGAGGGAGACCCGATGAGGTCGTCCGTGCAGTACACTTGGAACATAAAGTAAAGGATAATGACCATCAGAATCAGCGTGTGAGAGTAGTCGCACAGGAAGGTCGCTCGGAGCCCGCCCATGAGAACATACGCAACCACACCCAGAGGGATCAGGAAGATGGCCGCATAGACGTTCATGCCTGTGAGACTAGTAACCACGGCTGAGCCACCTAGTAGGAGCTGAGACCCGACCAGAATGTTCGTAACGAGGGCGAAGAAGATGAACACAAGGTGGGCGACGGTGCCATAGCGGACTTGGATGATTTCCAAGTACGTGTGGCATCGAGGAGCGTTCATCTTGGTCTTGCAGGCTAGGATGGAGAACATCAGAATCTGAACCGTGGCTCCTGCTGCATACTGAGGGGCTATTAGCATGAAGGTTGTCAGGATCAAAGGGGAATGGGGTGCTTTACCCAGAACGGTCCAGCTACACCATATGTATAAGCGACCGTGCTGCTCTGGAGAAGTGTAGCAGCCCAAGTCCACGCTGAAACTATACCAGCAGCAATGAGACCAGGTTTCACATTTCTACTTGCGGTGTTGAACTCTTCACTGGTCCTCGTGGAGAAGTTTGTGTATCGGTTCTGCACCGTATGTGAGCATTGAGAAGACGTTTAGAGACAGGGCAATGGTACCTGAAGCATGGAGATGCCGGCCATGACAACCGTAAAGAAGAAGCCGATGCCCACGACCACCCCATATCCCACCCCTTGGGACAATACTGCTGATAGAGCATCTGACATGATAGCGACGAGTACTGCAGGAGTCAAACAATAGAGAGGGGATGTGAGGAAAGCAACAAGATGATACCAGACCAGCGTAGAAGGACTTTCATATACTTTCCTTGATATACCCACCTTCGGCCATAAGCCCGATGCCAAGTATGCGGATAGCAACTGCACGAAGGAGTGTTCAGCATCCCGACCGCGTTGCCGGTCAATCTCCTGCGAGGAGAAATGATTCTGAAGCGAATACCGACTCTGATAACGCATTTGACGATGTTGGAACATTTCCCAACCCCTGTACAGAATGCGATAAATCCAGGATGTGTCCTGGGCCTTATCTCATTCGAGGAACGCTTTCCCAGCAGCGCCGATCAGCCGCTCTGTACGACGATGATACCATTTGATTGACACCGTCAGATGGAACCGCATGGCTGCATGGTCGTGGAAATCCGATGGCAACGTGCATCAAGAATTGAAAATCCTTTGGGTGTCAGGGATTTTTCGCCTGTGGTGGAGAGTTGACGAAACATGTCCGCGGTGATCTGCGAGGCTGTCATCAGTTATCAACCGTCGATAGGCAATGCATAAGGCTATGTCAAATAAGGAAGCTGCCAGGGGTTTTTCTCACGTGCCCTGGAACGCGAATATGGATCTGTGTGGCCGAAGGATTTTGCCCCGACTGACATTGGACACAAATAGCAGGAAAACATGGGCAGCCAGTCGAGCCCGAAGCATGGCCGTGAGCCAGACGGAATAGTATCGAAACTGTCTCTAAACTCGCATCCGACAGGCTCTAGTGCACCAGCCCATACAATCTCCCCGAGAATTTCGGAAATGAAAGCCGCTGGTGCGATCAAAGCAGCGCCTAGAACAGCACCAGATCCTCCGGGACAGACAATGACTGTGGTTCGTCACTTCAACTTTCACCTTACAAAGAGAAGGTGACCGAGACACAGATGATGGGTCGCAGACCATTCAGGCCTTGGGCGTTGCGTGGAGATCAAAGATGCCAGCGCCTGGCTCTTCACCAACCATCAACCTTCCGCGCTCGAAGCAATAACCCGCCCTCGGGCTTGGAGACGATGCCGAAATTCATTCTAATGTCTTCACCCATTTTCTTATCAGGATTGACGAGTGACCACTCAAATCGGCCAACTAAACCCGCCAACAACGTCGCAAATTCTCCTCGTGCGTATCTTTCGCCTATGCAACTTCGAGGCCCGGCTCCAAAAGGTAAGTAACGGTAGGTTGCATCTTCGCCTTGGAAGGCTGCATGAGGGTCAATCTTCATCTTCCCATCTTCGCCATATTGCAGAAAGCGCTCAGGTTTGAACTCTTTCGCGTCCGGGCCCCAGATGCTCTTAGTACGGTGTGTGCCCCAGATAGAAGTTATCACCATTGTCCCCACGGGTAATGGTTGATCAAGCACAACTGTTCCCGGTTTGACGACATGTCTCCGTAGGACAGGAGCAGGTGGGAACAGTCTGAGGGCCTCATAACAGACCGCAGCCAAATATGGGAGAGACTCAATGAGCGGTGCGTCGACGGACTCCTCGCTAGAGCTCGGTGAGGGCAGATGAGTCTGAATCTCAACTCGCAAAGTAGACTGAATTTGTGGATTGTGCGCAAGGAGATATAGTGCCCAAGTAACAGCGACAGATGTTGTGTCTTGTCCAGCTGCTAGAATCGTTGCAGACTGAGCCACCAACTCCTTATCGGTACAAGGCTCCTTGAATTGCAAGAGAGTTGAAATGATATCTGTGTCGGCAAACTTTTGAGGAGCAGAGCCGGATTTCTCTTCCTCGGAGTCAGGATCGAGATTCTCTCTACCGGCAAGGGCCTTCCTTCTTGACCTGATCATTGGTAAGGTGGCATCGTCCAAGGCTTTGACGATCCGATCAATCTCATAGCGTCTTGCCATTGGCAGCCGGACATACAGCCAGTAGGGCATTAAAAATGCCAAGAGTCTAAAGAATGTCGCTTCCGGGCTTGTTGAATTCGATAGAGGCAGAAGTCTAGCGAGATCGCTTTCCGGGTTGTCGATTGCGTTTATCTCAACTCCGAAGCCTGTCGCAGCAACAATGTCGAGGGTAGCACGCATCATCCAGCCTTCCACGTTTACAACAGCAGACGAATCCAAGCCAGCCTGATCTATCTCCTTGTTGAGCGAGGAAACCAACTGCGCGGTGTGCATCCAGAATCGAGGGAATAGATTTTTGATGTACTTGTACTTGAAGGCAGGTAATAGAGATTTCCGCTGACGCTGTGAAGCTTCGTGAGCATAGGCAAGAACAACGGACATGGAAAGCTTTTACTCACCTTGTGCTCGTCCTGGGCAGCAACTAGCAATCCAAGACCCGTAATCTGACCGATGAGCTTAGTTGCGATGGGGAGCTTGTTGTAGTTATAAGCTTGAAGAAGCATCATCTCCTTGGTACCTTGAGATTTGGTAATTAAGAGTCGTTCGCCATGAAATACACCAAAATACCGGATAAGACCATCGTTAGGAGTCTCGTTCATGAACTGCTCGAGATCTTCAGGGCCGGGCTCGACGAGGAACGTCTTCCACCACGGTCCTTGGGATGCTAAAGGCAGTCTCCGAAGGCGACTGATGCGCGGTGCCACATAAACCACCCAAACAAGCAGAGAGAGGAGCTGCAACAGAACCGCGAGCCACAAAAAGGTGAAAGGATTTCGCTTGAAAGAGATGCCCAAGCCCACTCTCACAATGAACGCTCCTCCGAAGAGCGTGGGTAGCATAGGAGATACCATTTTGACGCGTCAGGGACCGAAGCGTAGCCTGTCGAAACAACAGATTGTAGATACTCATTCAAGCTGTAACATATAATGTGAGGGAGTCTGAGAGCTATACGTACGTATCCGCGCGAGCCACATGGCCTTCCGAAATAGGTACTTGTCTCGCTGCCATGTCGTTCGTGCGCCTGCTGCTATCTGATCGAGAGGGGGGCAACAAAGATTGAGGGCCTTAGTCAGCTGACAAGTGAACTACAGTGACCCAGGAGGTGTTTCTCAGGTAGGTACGTGTGCAAATGGCCCCTTGACCTCCTGAGTCGCATTTGGTGTAGGGCATCAGCACAAGGCGCTGAGTATTTGACAAAGTCTCCGATGTAGGCAAGCAGGCGGCGAATCGCAAAGGTGAATGAGGTCCAGAATCCAGATTGATCATGGCAACTGATGGGTGGGTATCATTATCAGTAAACAATCACCAAAAAATCGTGTAGTGGGCCACGACATAATCAGAAAACTGGATATAGGACCGAATATATAAGACGGAGCACGGAGTACAGATCCGGAGAACTAAATGCCCGTAGCCCCCGAGCTGATTGCTCAAAGCAGGGAAAGTGTAGGACAATAGGTGAGGAAAAGGGAGATCGAGCCGCTAGGGGCAATTTGCAGTGGTCTGCCGCTTTTCCGCGTCGTTTCCGAGGCTGCGGCCATGTTAATAATTGCCTTTTGTACAATTACTGGCTGCCAGCAATCTAATGGCAGCTGACCATTGTACAAAAGAGGTAATTTTGAGCCTCAAGTAGCGAGAATTGGCAAATCCATTTTTTTGAGTCATGACACCGCATTGCATGGCAATTGTCGGTGCAGTTGCTGTACCAAATGCGACAATATGGGCGTCGTCGATATTGACAGGATTGGTGGCTTTCTCCCCAGTCGATATCGGGAAGCAGAAGTTGGAGTATACACACGGAAGCTGGAGACCAATCATAGCCTTAGTCCAAGCAATGCAATTCGTGGAGGAAGCTAGGGTGCACCAGAATCAGTTCTTGCTCGCAAGAACCCACAAAAAGGGGACTAGTCTGCCGTCCTCGTCGTCGTGTAACACTTCGCTTTGAATGATGCTGAAGCCAGTGTCTTTCAGCATCTCAAGGCTGGTCTCGGCGTCGAAGCTGCTCCAATACATCTGGGACCCTAGCCACTTTTCTGTTTTCCCCGGGTTATCTGCGACTCCCAAGTTGCACAGGAGGTAGCCTGTAGGCGAAAGCCACTTCCAAACCTGTTGGATCAGGTTGCACTGCTCGTCTCGTGGGAGGTGAATGATGGAATAGAACGCCACCACAGCCTGTAATACTGAACACTCAAACTTGAGGCTTGTCATGTCTCCCTGAATAAAATCAACATTCTCTTCTGGCACATTCGCCTTTGCGAGGTCGATTTGCGATTGGGAGATATCGTTGGCAAAGACTCGACGGCATCGCTGTGCCAATAGTCGCGTACATGGAACACCAGCGCCACAGCCAAGTTCAAGGACATCTGCTTCCCAAGGACTCTGTAGTCGCGAGAGCAACTTGTCCACATAGTCGAGACGGGCTGTTGGTTTCCCACTGGTCCAGTCGAAATAGGTTTGTGCAATTTCGTCATAGCCATTCTGGACCACAAGCTTTGGATTGTCCATGGTTGATGTTTTCTGTCTGGCGCAGTTAAACCCTGCGCGTTGACTTCACGCCTGGCAGGTTTGTTGACCGAGACCACCTTCAAACCTTGGATGAGTCAGAGTTCGCATGTCGCTGAATGTGTCCGAGCCAAGTCGGCGAATGCTTTGAAGTCTGCCTGAGGATGCCTGGCGGATGCCTGAAAGAGGATGGAGGATGAGGAGGCTGGTCAAAGTGGGCAACCATCTGCATCACGTGCATCACGTGTCCATGTCAGGGTCCAAACGCCATCTTGGACTTTGTTCCTTCTCCCCTTCTCCGTATTTCTTTTCATCAGGAAGCTCCTAGGTCTTCAATACTCTTTCAGCAGCCTTGCTGGTCTTCGTTGAAGCGAAGACATGCGGTCAGCAATCCTTCCTCGGGCAAGTCACAGCCTACGGGTTACGGATTTGCCATATCTCCAGGGCGCTCCCGGCAAACACGGCACGCCGCCCGCGATCCAACTCTCTCACAATGTGGGACCGTCCCCTCTAACCGTCGGAGGCTGCAAAAATAAGAATAATGTGCGCTGGCGTGCCCAACAAAGAATGCGCGCTATGTGTGGCAGCAGAAGGACGGCCAAGGTTTGATGCTTTCCTCATTTTCGGCTCTGAGTTGTCCCATATCTATCAATCCCCTTCTGGGCTTTGGTCACTTCTTGCCTGGAGCTTGCTCGAGTTAATCGTATGGAGCCGACGATCTCCGAGAACTAGCGATCGAGTGCAGTTCTTATTTCGTACCCCAGGCGAGACTCCGAGGCGAGGACCTCCACCGTATTTTTATACTGTTATCGATCCCCGAGTTTGTTTGGATTTTTCTTTCGTTTCGTTTCTTTTCAACTTTAGTGGAAAATCGATCATTATCTGGGCATGGTGGAAGGAAACACACAGAGCGAGGCATGGCCGACTACTCCTGCCGGGAAGGCTGTCGAGGCTGTGGAAGCTGCATATGACGACCATAAATCCGAGTTCGCAACGCCGAAGTCGAAATGGCAGAGAATTATCGATGTGCTGACATGGACGCCGCCATGGTGTCGATGGGATCCAGAAAAGCCGCCTACATTCTCGGTCTGGCATAATGTTCTTTTCGCATTTGCGGGTGCCTTTACTGTGGGCAACTTGTACTACAACCATCCGATTTTGAATATTTTGGCTCGGGACTTCAGTGTGCCTTATGTGACGGTGTCACGAATCCCGACTCTGATGCAAGCTGGCTATGCCACCGGCTTGCTGTTCGTATGTCCGTTGGGCGACCTGCTGAAGAGGAGGCCACTGACCTTGGGCCTGATTGCATTTACGGCTACCATGTGGTAAGTCACGCCTATTCCAGAGCCTGGACCCTGTGCAACCCCCCCCAAAAAGGCATGGCTCTATAATGCTGACCTATTCCAACTAGGATCGGACTTTGCGTGACCCCTTCATTCACAGCCTTCTGTGCAATCTCCTACATTTGTGCTGTCACAACAGTCATCCCTCAAGTAATGCTTCCCTTGGTCGCGGAATTGGCACCACCTCATCGACGCGCCCTAGCCTTGAGCATTACCACCTCTGGTAACCTCCTTGGCATCGTGGTGGCCCGTATTCTCTCGGGCGTTGTCACACAATTCACGTCATGGAGAAACGTCTACTGGATTGCCCTTGGGTTGCAGTATCTTATCCTGATTACACTCTGGCTTTTTATGCCCGACTATCCCTCTTCCAACCCTCAAGGATTGAACTACTTCAAAATGATCGGCGGAATCATCTTTTTGTACAAGAAGCATGCCGTCCTCGTCCAAGCCGGATTGGTCAGCTTCTGTATCTCGGCCGCATTCACGAATTACTGGACTACCCTTACATTTCTCCTTGCCGACTCACCGTACAACTACTCACCTGTCGTTATTGGATTGTTCGCACTAATTGGTGTGGCTGGTATTGTGATGGGTCCGATCTACGCGAAATTCATCATTCAACCCTTCGCACCTCTCTTTTCTTGCTTGATCGGCTGCGCGGCCAATCTAATAGGGATAACCATCGGGACGTACACGGGGAAACATACGGTGGCAGGACCAATAATTCAGGCCTTCACACTGGACATGGGCCTACAGATCACTCAAGTGGCAAACCGCGCCGCGATTCACGTGATTGAGCCAAACGGGCGGAATCGAGTAAACACTGCCTTCATGTTGTGTACATTCACAGGGCAGTTGACCGGCACATCGGCGGGGGCAAAACTGTATGAGAGGGGTGGATGGATTGCGAGCGGGAGTCTGAGCGTGGCGCTGGTGGGATTGACGTTTGTGATTTGTGGCTTGAGAGGTCCATATGAAGAGGGTTGGATAGGCTGGCATGGAGGATGGGATGTGAGGAAGAAGAATCTGGCCGAAGCGACGAGCGGACCTGTGCTGATTACAGTGCAAAAGTCGAGCACGACTGATGAAGAGAAGGGGGGACGGTGATGGGACGTCTTTACCGACCACAGCGTCGACGTCTTTGCCGACAAAACAACAGGGAATGCGCCCCTGAATTTTGCTATCTTTTCAAGCCCTTCAAATTTCACGTTTCAATGCAAGCCCCGTCTGGACAATGTGAAGGAGTCGAGTGGATTTCGTTCCCATTGGCGAATGGGAAATGAATCTCCGGTCCCTTGCATATCCTGCCTGGTGCTGCCTTCAATATGCATAACTAAGGCCTGTCACTCACGCACCAGTCCAGATCCAGACCGCTGCCTGGTGGTGCCTTGCATGTATGTGCGGCTCAAGTATCCTACAGGTTGCTCTGCAGAATAACTGACGCTCCCTCCCAGAGCATAAATAGTCCCAGTGAAAGACCATCGATACACCCTCTCCACGAAGCAACAACCAGAATTCGCCGTACTCGCAATGGCTGCTTCTACTGCTGGGAACTGTAACGTCCCATCCCTGGCTGAGCAGGCCGAGCAAAAAGTCTTTGAAGAACTGGCCAAGCATGTTCAGAACGAAGGCAGGCAATCGCTCTTTGCTATTGGCGGTTCGATCCCAATCACTTCTCTTGACAACAATTTGATCTGCGAGTCTGACGATGCCGGCTCGGATGGCGGCAACGAGACTAGCAAGGAAGCCTCCAAGGAGTACAGCATCGAGCAAGATGTCAAGGTTGTCGACGCCAATGACAGTGAAAGTGAACGTGAGGGCAACCCCCAAGCAGCGCCATCACCAGCCGCCCTACCGGGGCCTGGAGGTGCTGCTGTCCACAAAATGCGTTGCGACCCGATCACAGTCAGATGGGACTCAGCTGCCCACGCCGGGTCCTCCCACAAGGTCACCTTACCGTGTACCGACAGTCAGAGACCCTCCTTCGAGCAGCTCCTTAAGGATTGCCAACCAGCCAGCTTTGGACGCGGCGGAAAAGATGTCATGGATGAGACATATCGCAAGGCCGGGAAGCTGGATGAGTCTGATTTTTGCACAAACTTCAACCCCTATGCCCTCGGAATCATCGACACTGCGGCGCAAGCTCTTGCTCCAAACAACTGCAGACAAACAAATGAGACCCACGGCATCCGGGCGGAACTGTACAAGCTGAATGTAAAGGTGCCCTTCCTCCGGCACTTGATCATTCCACTAACTCGTCCAACTTAGGTGTATGCAGCGCCCTCGGGGAAGTTTAAATCCCACGTCGACACCCCGCGCTCGAAACACCAGATCGGATCTCTGGTCGTCTGCCTTCCGAGCGTCCACGAAGGCGGGCAGCTAGTGCTCCGCCATCAGGGTCGGGAGATTGTCTTCGACTGGTCTGGTAAAAAGGCCAGCAGTACCGTTCAATGGGCGGCTTTCTACAGCGACTGCGAACATGAGGTGCTCGAAGTCACGGCGGGCGAACGTGTGACACTGACATACAATTTGTATGCCACCTGCTCAGCGAACACGGCTTGGATAGATCCGGAACAGGTCGAGCTACACCACTCGCTGAGAACACTGCTGGCGGAACCAGGATTCTGCAAGAACGGTAAGACCTTCGACTTGAAAGCAGTAGGATGATATGGCTAAGTTGCGTTTCTCGCTCCTTCTAAGGTCTCACACTTGGTTATCACTGTGCGCACGCCTACGCACATACCTCAGGAGACACTATTCCCACGCTCCCCGCCACTCTCAAGGGCGTCGACAAAGTCGTCTACACATGCTTCGCCGCAGCCAATCTCCCCGTGCGTCTCCGACACTTACTCGTGCTCGACAAACGCGACCGCTCTGATTACTATGGGTACATCCTCAGCGGATACGGGACAGAGGACTCGGACAGAATCCGAGACCTGAAGGAGCTGTATCAACGCAAGGAAGTAGAGGGATATGGATTAAAGTACTACGTCTGGGACCCGGTCGACAAGAATCAACCCGTTGACGTCGACTTGCTGGCTGACGGTCTCGTCCCATTTGACTACACGGACGCGGGCCTGTATGATGGGGAGAGCTTGATACCCATTATCAAGAAATGGTCCCGCGACTTTGGCGTCAAGAAGGTCAAGTGGCTGAACACACCGAGTCATCGGGAGCTGGCGTTGGTTCATGGTGCCGTAAGTTCTGTCCCTCTTCTCTCTTTCCCTCCCGATGAAATCCTGGGCGGAAACTTGGATTGTGGTAATGTATCTGACGGTTCTTCCCATCCAGTATGGCAACCAGGCCAGCATCGCGACGAAGTACTCCAGATTGGTCATCACCATGGACATTCCGCCGTTCCAAGAACGTTAACTTGCGTGCGAGGTGCGGTGAGTGGTGCGTGAGAGGATATCATACTGAACAATAAGAGGGTATCATCGCACTGGATAGCCACCAGTACAGAGCTTCATGCTGGACAGCCAGCCACAGAGGCATCAAGCTTGCAGGCAAGCAAGGGATTTCATATCATGGATTCTCTCGTCAGGATACTCGTCTAACTGGACTTTGGTCTTTTTCTTTCCAAGTCATTCGCTTTATCTGACTAGTTGGAGCGCTCGCATAGCAAGCAATGGTCACTCCCGCTTTAAGGACGAGCAAAAGGATGTGTCCGAGAGCATTCCCTGTGTGCATGCATGTGTGTCCTCGTCGGTTCTCATCTGCCTTGTTCCACGCACTGGCCGTGTCGGTTAGCACACCATCCCTTGGACTTGTTCCCTTGGGTCCACCAAAAGACTGACTCTCAGTTCGAAGTGCCGTTCGCGCTCTCGTGCATCTTCGGGCTGTTATGTCCCCAGTCCATGCCCTGCGGATGCGAAGCAGTTCGTGGTCAGTTTGTGTTTTCCTGATATAACTGGCTAAGAATCCAGGATCCGGGATGCCTGGCTGTGAAAATGGGCGCGTGCACGCTCGTCCTCAGAGCATATATCACCCCAGCCAAAGAAAAAGGGGGATCCTTCTAGGCAAGTTAAAGGAGAGAAACGGGACGAGGGGCCAAAAAAAAGGAAAGAAAACAAGAGAAGAGGAGAGGAGAGAATGAATAAAACCTGGTTGTCCTCACCAATCCCAAAATGACCTGTCCCGCCGCCAAATCGTGCGAGTTCTTCTCCCCCAACCACACGGGCTCGGTCTTCTTGATGCCCTCCTCGATATCCACAGCGCGCCCACCCGTCACGAAGAGGGCTTGGCCGTGCGTGGTCGGCTCGGCGCTGACTTGGATGATGTACTTTGCCACGTCGAGGGGCTGGTTCATTGGCATCGCGTGCTTGACCCATTCAGCGCGCACGCCGGCCAGGAGTTGCGTGTCGGTTGCCCAGGGACCTGTAGGATTCAGATAAGAGAGAGGAAGACGGGCGGGTGAGTGAGTGAGTGAGTGAGGGAGGAATTAAACTCTTGATCCGGAAAAAGGGGGAAATGGTTTTCTTGTTGCGGGATGGAACTTACATATGGCGTTTATTCTCAATCCGTATAATGGCGCCGTGAAGGGGCGGAGAGCTCTCATGAGTCCCAACACGCCATGCTTTGCCGCCGAGTACGCGAAAAGGCCGGGCGACTCCTTGAAGCCCGCGACCGATGAGACGAGCGTGATGCATTTTGGCGAGGTGATGGATTTGGCCGTCGTTGATGCTTTGTCGAAAGTGTGCTTCTCCTTCAGGTATGCCACAGCGAGTCGGGCAAAATATAGAGTGCCGTTCAGGTTGATGTCGACTACCTCGGTGATGCCTGTTGGTGTCTATGTACCTCATAGTGAGCGACTGATAAAAAAACACTCGTGGCATGCTATATGTAACACCTCTAGGTTGTCGCCCCCATTTGCTGCACGTACCTCTCTCACGCTCTGGAGATCCAGCTTCTCTGGCTCCCAATACCCCGGTCTTTCAGTCACCGCAGCGCAGCAGATCGCAATGTCAATCTGTCCGTGCTTGTTGTAGACGGTATCGAACAATGAAAGGATAGACTGATAATCCCGAACGTTGACCTTGAGATATGTCACGCCGCCTTCTGACGGCGAGGCTCGAAGCTCATCTGTCAGTTTCGAGCCCTTGGTGTCGTCCCAATCGCCGAAAAAGACATGAGCGCCTGATTTATATAGCTGGGTCACTGTTGCTGCCCCGATCCCCTGAGCGCCGCCTAGAAAAAGAAGGTGCCATGGTGAGCATAGGAGTCAACAGTACAGTGGTTGTGTACACCAACCTGCGAGGACCACCACCTTGCCCTTCACTGACTCTAGGATTGATTGCTCGATATGTACCTCCGCCATTGTGGTCCGATGAAGGGGATTGTTCAACGGTTTTCTGGTGCCCAGAGGAGATGTCGCCCGTCCGTTTTCTTCCTACCAACGAGTGAAACAGTCAAGAATGGACGTCGAACTGTCCACATGAGAAGGCCGCTTGGCCTGCTGGGACACAACCCAAATTTGAACGTTTGTCCACGTTGACGGCCTTCACACATACGCAGTGTTCAGAAGCGAAGCGGTCCATATCCGATGAGGGGGATCCTCTAGTTGGACTCGTCTAGCTCTCGGCAATTGGTTTCGCTTCCCTTATTGAATGGGAGACTCAGAGAGAATCGGGGTATAGGCACCATGGGGGCTCCAAGGCTGAGATGCCCCACATGGGAGAATCGCTGGCATCCCGTGGGGCAATTCCGTTAAGGAGGAGCATCAGCCGGGAGATGGAGAGTTGGCTGAATATTTCAGTCGACGAACCCGAAGTGTGTCGATCTGGGTATAAACTGGGGTGGCTACCGACAAGTCGAGTACGTCCGTACCATACTACCACGATAACACGAACCCAGACGCAATTCGTTTGTTAGGGTTGGACGTCTACTTTCCAGGCTTCATGATGGCTGCTCAGAGGAAAAGCGTTGTGGTAACTGGTTAGTAGTTCTACACAAAAACACTCCGTCTCGCGGCAGAGATGCTTCTAACATGGGTCAATTCCAATAGGAGGAGCATCGGGAATAGGGTTGGGAATCACCCGTTCATTTGCGGAACAAGGTGCACATGTTTCCGTCCTCGATGTGAACCCAGAGGGTGGGCAAATTGTCAA